TCCTATGTCTCTGCCCCCCTCCCCCGCCCCGTGTGTCTCTCATGGATAAACTAAATCTTTAAAAGAAAAAAAAGAATATAAACCTCATGATGTCAGAGATTAACTTCATTTTTATCCTTAGCACTTGCTACCACTCACTATACTACATAATTTGTGATTAAATTGGCTTGCATATATCCCTATTCCCCATAGAAGGTAAGCCCCTTCTGAATGTCTGTCTCATTTATTCCTTCATGTCTGGCTCTGAGTGCAAAGCCTCACGGGCTTTCTTAGATTGCTGAGGATTTCTGGGCAGAGTGACCTGACAGGATCTGCTGTTTTGACAAAGTTACTCTGTGTTGAGGAGTGAACAAAGGGGAGCATGAAGAGAGGAGAAGGGAAAGTAATTTGGAGGCAATGCAATATCCAGGTTGGAAAGATGGCAGCTTGAGCCCAGGTAGTAGCAGGTGACATGGGAAAGTGGTCTGATTCTGGATGTATTTAGAAGTAAAATCATCAAGATTTGGTGAGAAATTAGATACGGAGATGGAACAAAAGGGAAGAATCGAAGATAACTTCAGGGATTTCACTTCATTGTGCAGACATCTCTGTCTCCTCTATAAGTTGATTTAAGGGTAATCACATTTTCCTTGCCAGTCATTGATTTCGGGATCAGCATGTGCCCCTCATTATAGCCAATAGGAAATGACAAGTTAGCTCCTGAGCTTCTCCATGAAGGAACAACAGAAAGAGAGTCACCCTCTTTTTGCTCTGGATATAGCTGCTCCTGGATGTGATGCCTGGAACAGGTACCCCATCTTACTATCAGCCTGCAGATTAAGCCTGGGGATGGGTAGGGCTGAGAGATGGGAAACATCAGCATCCCTAGGGACATCAGTGAGCCACTGAGTCAACAAAGTCTCAGTCTGAACTTCCTCACAATGAGATATTATATTCCTGTTCTGAAGGACAATTTGAGTCAGGATTTCTGTTGCTTACAACCTAAAACATCCTGATCCAAGACCCTCTTTTGTAGGTTTTACAGATTATCCTTTTTAGAATGAAGTACCAAAAATTTAGAAATGTTTCCAGTGTGTCCAAAACAATATATCTTACATTATAACACTCTTGGCTAGTGGAAAAAGATACGGTGGGAGGAAAAAGCCTGGATAGGAAACCAACCCCACAGTTATAGTAGGAAACAAATTATATGTACATTGATTTATGACATGAAAGGAAACAAATCAGTTGAGGAATTGTGAGCGCAGAGCTATGGTGCCCTAGAGCAGCGTTTTTCCAACTGCAATTTGTGTGATCTGCTGGTAGGTCACATAAACAACTTAGTGAGTCTAGACTAGCATTTTAAAAAATGGAATAGAACAAGTAGAATAGGGTAGAAGAGTAGAATAGAACAGAACAGAATAGAAAATATTAGAGTACATAATAAGAATTATTATCTTGTTGAAATTTTGTTTCAGTTACATATTTTGACAGGTGTCTACTGAGTCATCATGTAAAATATTTGCCTTATGGTGGGTCATGGCCAAAAGGATTTGAGAACTACTGTCTAAGAATGAACTGAGACACTGATCAGCCCTCTTTACACACAACACTCAAAATCCTAGTACTGACTGGTCAATTTGCTCTAAATATACAAACTACACCTAAGACTTTTTCTAATGAAAAATATTCTCACTGGGGCACCTGGGTGGCTCAGCAGTTGAGCATCTGCCTTTGGCTCAGGTTGTGATCTGGGGTTCTGGGATTGAGTACTACATCAGGCTCTCTGCAGGGAGCCAGCTTCTCCCTCTGCCTATGTCTCTGCCTCTCTCTGTGTGTGTCTTTCATGAATAAAAAAATAAAATCTTAAAAAAAGAAAAATATTCTCATCATGTGACTATACTAACATGTTTCTTCTCAAATTAATATGGTGCCCCAGTTACAGGGAAGCAGGAACACATCTGGGTCACCCAGCTGAGCCCCTGTGAGTTCCCTGGGTTTCAGACTGATCTGCTCTGTGGAGCTTGCTCTTGTGTTCTTTCCCCAGAGTCTCCCTGAACACCATCTTTGGTTTCTGTCTAATTCTTGCTTCTTATGCTGACACTGGAGGGGGAGGCAAAAGAGATTTATTTCCATAGCATTATTGGTGAAAGTGCCCTCAAAGTGGTGTAGATTCATATTATTATTTTTTTTAATTTTTATTTATTTATGATAGTCACACACAGAGAGAGAAAGAGGCAGAGACACAGGCAGAGGGAGAAGCAGGCTCCATGCACCGGGAGCCCAACGTGGGACTCGATCCCAGGTCTCCAGGATCGCGCCCTGGGCCAGAGGCAGGCGCTAAACCGCTGCACCGCCCAGGGATCCCTAGATTCATATTAAAGCTCAATATTTTTTAATTCCAAGGAGATTAAAAGTTGTTCCACAAATTTCAATTTCCAGGGCAATTAGAGGTTCATGAGGAGTCCCATCATGGAGCATGTATTCCTGTCAAGCAGCCCACTTATTCCAAACGTTTTTAGAAATCATACCAACCCATGATCTGAAAGGTTTGATAAGTTAAAGAGTCTGTGTTCCGTGCTGATGGACAAATGCACTAGCCTCCTGTCCTTCAGGAGACAAGTCTGTATGCTTCTCAGAGGTCCTTACATCTCAGAAATTGAATCCATACTGCCAGCAGCTGGGGCTTGAAATACACACTTCTATTGACTTTTCCTCATTCTGTGTCCCAGCTTCCATTTTCCTTCCCTCCTGCTCTTTGGGATAACCTCCCCAGAAGAACCCTGCATCCAAATCCTTGGGCAGCACTCTGCTTTTAGGGGAACTAAAAGATAATCTAAACTAAACAGAATCTAAGTGACTTAAGGAAAAACACATCTAAAGAAATTATTTCATGAACTCAAACAAAGCCTTCGCCATATGATATACAGAAATGTTTTTAAAAGAACAGGAAGGGATTAAGTAATAGGGAGTGGTCCTTGGGAGTCACTCTTGGAAGAACATAAGAAACTGAGTTGGAAACTTAGAAATCAGTAGCAAAATTTAGCAATCTTACAGACAGAGGCTGGTTGTCTCTGAACCCATTTCTTATCTACCCACTCAGGAGCTGAAAAGGTCCCAAAGGGGATGGGCAGCAGTTGAGAACAGTGAAAATGTACCCCAGGGATACCCCCACACCCAACCTTCTCTGCGGAGAGATCCTGGCACATGCTAGCTACCTTGTTATACTAATACTAGATTATATCTCCAGGTAAAACAGGGGAACTGAGAATGTGAAAGTCTATTCTGGGGAACAGTCTTTCTCAAAAATAGACATCCAAAAGAAAAAAAGAGGGGAAAAAGCAGAAAAATACATGATTTTAAAATTGTATAAACATGACATTGCTTTGCTTTAGAAAAATCTTCACAAATTATAAGAAATTCAGAAGGCAAGTGAATTAATAAAAGCTCTAAGGTACAAAAATATATTTTAGTGTCAAAACTCAGGATCATTTTCAAATAGTCACAGAAATACACTTTGCTTTACCAAACCAATGCTTTAAAAAGCTCCTTAGGTAAATTGGCCTGGTAAAAAGTTAAAAACAAATGATAATGTGTGGTGTTGATTATTTTTCAATTAATGAATGCCTAAAATAGTATGTTATTGGGAACATTTAAAATACCTTCCTTGCTTCCCTTTATATTACTTGGAAAGCAAAAAATAATTTTTGAGTGGCAAATCCTTGTTCAACCTTCTTTTAGAATATCACAAATGATGCTTTAGTGATGCCTGGATAAATGGCATGCTCCCTCCCTGACAAGTACTGACAAAGTATGACATCCAAAGGCTGAGAACCTACAATTTTTTCTATATTTAACAGTGGTCAGACCCTTATTAGTGTTGATTCAGGTTTTAGTTTCTAAATTTCGAGAGAGCTGTACAAGAGTTGGCCAAGATCCAAAGAGAAGCAACGGAAACCATTAAAACAATGGAAAAGAAGATCCACTAGAAAAAAATTAAAAACATTGAACTGGCTTTGCCTTGAAAATTGCAGACAAGGACTGATTTAATAACTTTCTTCGAGAACAGGATGGTTTATTTGGAGGAGGATGCTAGCTGGCTTTTTTCCATCTCTATAAGAGATGAAAACCAGACAAAATTGGATTAGAATGCAACCAGAGAGTTTCTTTGACCTAAGGCAGGACTCAGCTGCAAAGGTGATTAAGCTCTGTCATTACCATCACTGGAGTGCTTTGAAAATATGTTCAACAACCATTAGCTATGGGTAGTTTAGGCAACTCGCTGGAGAAGGAAAAGCCTTTCAACTCTGTGTTTCCATGTATTTGAAATCTCAAATGCCAGGTTAAAAGGGTTAGTCAGAGTAAAGGGGAGACCAGATTTCCCACACTTGGGAACAGGATCACCAAGTATATCATCTTTCATTCTGAAACTGGAAAGACTCAACATCTAATGAATGATATTAGCCATATGCTAAAGTAATGCAACTCTAAGAGATGACATATATTACAAATGTAACCAGTCTTTCCCAAGTTTCATAAAGGAATTCATGGAAATCGTGTTGAATCAGATTGAAGAGAAACTGTGATTTAATAATATTCATTTCACATCTATTGAACACCTGCTATGTGTCCAGCAGTGTGCCAAGCACAGGATTGCAAGTCAAACATGACATGGTCACTGCCCCCTGGCAGTTTACAATCTGGTGAAGAGAAAGATATGTTACAAGCTAATCCTACATTAGGGAGAAGCACAGGGTGCTGTGGGAGCACCTGAATGACACCCCTCCTCCACAAGGGGTGTTCTGAGAAGGCTTCCTGAGAAGAGGCCCTGATGAGCTTTGGAAATAGAGTAGGTATAAAATTGGTACAGGAGGAATTTCTTACAGAGAAGAAAATGGGTGCTAAAGGAGGACTAATAATAGAAGAATACCAAGAATGAGTATGTGCCAGGCACTGTATCAGTGCTTAATCAGCATGATTCTACTTAATCATCATGATCTCCCTCATTTATTCACTTGCAGACATTTGAGCATCTGCTGTGTTCCAGGAACTGTGCATACAATGATGAGTGGAAGAAAAACAGATTCTGCTCTCCTCGAGCCTGGCCCAATAATCAAACAGTCATGGAAGATGGATGGAAAATAAAAGGAAAGTTGTTAATTACAATATTTGTAATTTCCTTCACTCTTTCAACCTTCAAAGAGAATTCTGCCTTTGTCTTCTAAGCTTTTCTGATCTCACTCCCTCTGCATGATGCCAACAAGAATTTTTTCTTTGTCAGCTGAGTTCCTGAGCTGTCGTGATGCCAAATCTAATTAACGGGGAAAGAGCAACTAGACTTTAGAATTAAGGACAAGCAACAGTTTGTGCAAAAAAAAAAAAAAAAAAAAAAAAAGAGGGAGACATAAATTATTAAAAATAAAATTAAAATGTTTAAACTATTGCTTTTTATAACTTTCATTGACTACCTTATGATATCTCAGGAGCAGTTCAATGCACCTTGCTAACATCATTGCTTATAGTTCTCCCCCAAACATTGGGAGAGGTTTGACTGTATCCCTACTTTACATACATGAAAACTGAGACATAGAAGTTAAAGTAAACTGCAGTAGGTCACAGAGTTCATAAGGGGTGCAGCCAGAATTCAAAACCAGTGGTGTGACCCCAGAGCACACGGCGGCAGCAGGAGAGAAGGTTCTTGGGCTCTAATACAAAGTGTGATTGAGAGCAAAAGGAAGGGCAAAATGGATGTTCCAAAGTGGAGTGTAGATCATTAACTGGATTCCCTTGATATTCTCTGGCTGATTTTAGCAGTAAATGGAATTGCTTTTAATTATTCACCTCATGTCTCTGAGAGTGACCCTGTGCTGGGACGGGTCTCATGGACCAGTTTTAATGTGGGACATGGAATACAGGACTGCAAACCATGCTGTACTTTGAGGAAAAATATAGAGAACTCTAAGAGCAAAGGCAAAGGCCTGTGATCTGGCCTATGGGGTCGGAAAAGCTCTCCTGAGGAAGTCAAGTCTGAGCCTAATTAGGTGACTAAGTGATGGGTGAACTCCAGGCAGAGAGAAGAGTGTGTGCAAAGGCACTGAGGTAAGGATAGAGAAGGACTTTGAGGAAGTGAAAGAAGATATGGAGCTGGCGCACCAAGAGTGAGAGGGAGATAGTCTGGTGAGGTAGGCAGAGAGACAGATCATGGAAACACTGAATGAGGGCCAGGTTTGGGGGGTGTTTATTCAGATTCCTCTGTCATGAATGTGAATCTGTCTTCAGAAATAAGGATGCGTCTACGGCCATGCCACCCTGAACACGCCTGATCTCGTCAGAAATAAGGATGCTCCTTTCCTCCAGGTATAGGTAGAGCACCTCCCACATGATAGTCTTATGACTTGCTTTGGGAGAAGGTAAGAAAGTCTTTCCTACACCTGCCATTTCTCAAATTCCCTCAGCTTAAAATATTCCATGTGCCAAGGTGCCATATTTTGGGGTATTGCATCCTGAACTTCAGCAATAGGGATTCCAGAGCCAGGCTGAATCCCACCCAGCTCCATCCCAGGTTTGAAGCCCAGCACCATTTCTCATTAGTTATGTGCCTTTGGGAGAGTGACTCATTTCTTTGTGCCTCAGTTTTTCTGATCCAGTAAATAAGCTAATAATACTTAATACATATATAGGGTTATATGAGGATCAAGTAAATTAACATAAGAATATCTGCTGTTACTATCACCAGATGAGTTCATAGATGGAGATTTTTTTTTCTTTTCTTTTCCCTTTCCTTTTTTTTCTTTTAAGTAGGCTCCATGCCCAATGTGGAGCCCAACATAGGGCTCAAAACGGAGCTTGAACTCACAAGGGTGAGATCAAGACCTGAACTGAGGTCAAGAATCAGACACTCAACCAACTGAGCCACCCAGGAGCCCCTGTATAAGCAAGATTTTATAGTGGGGGAGATAGATAGGTGAAGGAAGAAGCAGTATTCAAAAAGGGTGAATGTGGGTAGGTGAAGGATGCTCAGAAAACTACTGGTTTTCCAGTTTGGCTGAGGCAGAGGGTACATGTTAAGAACAGAAGATGTAGGGGCACCTGAGTGGCTCAGCAGTTGCTCAGTTTGTGATCCTGGGGTGCTGAGATCAAGTCCCATATCAGGCTTCCCTGCAGGGAGCCTGCTTCTCACTCTGCCTATGTTTCTGCCTCTCTCTGTGTGTGTCTCTCATGAATAAACAGTAAAATCTTTAAAAAAAAAAAAAAAAATAGAAGACATAGAAGTGAGATTTTTTTCATATAAGATGCTCACCACAGGAGCGTCTACTTAATTCCAGGGACCATGGAGAACTTCTGAAGGTTTTTGAACAGGTATATAATAAGACTAGGGTTGTATATTGGGAAAAGTAATTTGGCAGCCACATAGTGTGAATTATCGTGAGAAAGACTGATTTTGCACTCACTGAGAAACGTTGCTAGAAATTTTTTTAAGTAGACTTTCATACTGGCAAGCAAATATATTGAGCAGCTGACAAAATATGCTGGTCTATTTGACAGTCATGCCTCTCTGGGTAAATTAATGTAATCTGTGGTTCACAAGTCAGTCAATCCATCTATCCATCAATTGACTTGCTTATTACTTTAAAATGCATTTCCTGTTAGATGGCTCTAAGAACACTTACAAACGCATGCAAATACAGTAGTTACATAAATCAGAAATAAAAATCAAAAACTATATAGGGGAAATGGAAAGGTAATTATCTAGAGTAAAGATCTAGAATAAGATGGTAAATGCAACTGATCATTACATTAGCTCTAGCTTGCTAAAAGCCCAGGCATAAAGGAAATCTAGAAAGAGAACTGTGTAGTTCTTAATGCCTAATGAAGGAAATTTATTAATTTTTTTTAGGTAAGATAGCCTTTTCTTCCTGGAGTCAAACAGAAAATTTGCATATACTTTCTAATGAAGTCCAGTTTTTAGATAATGAAAAATCAAACTTCACAATCATTTCACACTTGTTGGCATGAGTGGTCCCTCAGAGCCTGGTAATTCCCCTGAATTGATAGAGAGGATTTTCTGAATTTACAAAATCACAGATTAGAAAAGAAGTATGTCATAAACTTGACATACATATAGATGCCCCAGGTGGAGTAGCAATGGGAAGACTATATTTTGTCTGTCACAGAGGATGAAGTCCAGGAGGTGTCATCACCATAAAAATGGGCTGGCTAACTTTCTATTAGAGAAGTAGGTTATTTCAACTTAGTTTTTAAATATGAGCTACTTTAACATATAGAAAAGTACAGAAAATAACAAAAGAATATCCTTATTTCCACTACCAATATTTAGCAAGTACTTCTATATTTTCATGTTTGAATCTTTTTTTTTTTTTTTTTTTTTTTAAGAAATAAAGCTTCAGGGCAGCCTGGGTGGCTCAGCGGTTTAGTGCTGCCTTCGCCCCAGGGCCTGATCCTGGAGACCCGGATCGCGTCCCACATTGGGCTCCCTGCATGGGGCCTGCTTCTCCCTCTGCCTGTGTCTCTGCCTCTCTCTCTCTCTCTCTCTCTCTCTCTCTCTGTGTGTGTGTGTGTCTCTCATGAATAAATAAAATCTTAAAAAAAAAAAGATGTAGGGGCAAAAGAAATAAAGCTTCAGAGAGAGTTGAAGTCTCTTTTTTCACTCTGGTTACAGTTGGCTCCTTATTTCACTAGAGTCAACCAGCAACATGAGTTGGTATGTATCCTTCCCATCTCTGTCTTTCCAGTTTTACTGTAGAGATTATGTATTTATAAACAATACATGATATTTTTTTTAAAGAAATTGGTGATTTGAGCACACACAAACTGTGCCTTTCCTTTTTTTTTTTTTTAATTTTTATTTATTTATGATAGTCACAGAGAGAGAGAGAGGCAGAGACACAGGCAGAGGGAGAAGCAGGCTCCATGCACCGGGAGCCCGATGTGGGATTCGATCCGGGGTCTCCAGGATCGCGCCCTGGGCCAAAGGCAGGCGCCAAACCGCTGCGCCACCCAGGGATCCCAACAATACATGATATTGATTGGAATCAAACTGTGGGAATTATTCTGCAACATTATTATCCATTAGTATGTCTTTGAGATTTAGTCAGCAATATCTAAATATAATTGTAGTCCATTCTGTATTCTGTTCTGGGGAAAAAAAACCTGATATGCAATATATGTAAACCTGACACCCAATTAATATACATACAAGTTGTTTCCAATTTTTCATTATTATAAATAATGCTGCACTGAACATCCTTATACATGTCTCCTTCAGTACCCATGCAAGTTTCTCTTGGGAAGATTCTTTCTTATTTTTTTTTTAAGATTTTATGTATTTATTCATGAGAGACACAAAGAGGCAGAGACAAAGAGGGAGAAGCAGACCCCCTGTAGGGAACCTGATGCAGCACTTGATCCCAGGACCCCGGGATCATGACCTAAACCAAAGGCAGACACTCAAGCACTGAGCCACACAGGTGACCCCACTCTTGGGAATATTCTTAGAAATGGAGTTGCTGGATCCATGAGGTATGAATATCTTAACACTTTATTAAATAGGGTCAAATTGCAGTCTCTTCAATAAATGGTGCTGGGAAAATTGGACAGCCACATGCAGAAGAATGAGACTAGACCATTCTCTTACACCATCCACAAAGATAAACTCAAAATGGATGAAAGATCTAAATGTGAGACAAGATTCCATCAAAATCCTAGAGGAGAACAAAGGCAACACCCTTTTTGAACTTGGCCATAGCAACTTCTTGCAAGATACATCTACGAAGGCAAGGGAAACAAAAGCAAAAATGAACAATTGGGACTTAATCAAGATAAAAAGCTTCTGCACAGTAGAAGAAACAGTCAACAAAACTAAAAGACAACCTACGGAATGGGAGAAGATATTTGCAAATGACAGATCAGATAAAGGGCTAGTATCCAAGATCTATAAAGAAAGTATTAAACTCAACAGCAAAGAAACAAACAATCCAATCATAAAATGGGCAAAAGACATGAAGAGAAATCTCACAGAGGAAGACATAGACATGGCCAACAAGCACATGAGAAAATTCTCCGCATCACTTGCCATCAGAGAAATACAAATCAAAACCACAATGAGATACCACCTCACAGCAGTGAGAATGGGGAAAATTAACAAGGCAGGAAACAACAAATGTTGGAGAGGATGTGGAGAAAAGGGAACACTCTTGCACTGTTGGTGGGAATGTGAACTGGTGCAGCCACTCTGGAAAACTGTGTGGAGGTTCCTCAAAGAGTTAAAAATAGACCTGCCCTACGACCCAGCAAT